CCCCCCCAAACCCCACAATGCTGCGGGTTGGGAACAACCTTGAGCCTTCCTCTACCCCAGAGCTCTGAAACCTTGCTGCCAGCTGCCCTTTCTGCCCCCTCCCCAGGACCGTATTGGGCGCCCCTCAGAGACTGGCATCATTGGCATCATCGACCCCGAGTGCCGCATGATCGGCCTGCGCCTCTACGACGGGCTCTTCAAGGTCATCCCCCTGGACAGGGACAACAAGGAGTTAAAGGCCTTCAACATCCGCCTGGAGGAGCTGCAGGTCATCGATGTGAAGTTCCTCTATGGTTGTCAAGCTCCCACCATCTGCTTTGTCTACCAGGTGCCATCTTCTCACCCTCTCCCTCACCCGGAGCGGGGGGGTTTTGAAAGGTCTCTCGAAAGGTTTTTCGAGCAGCTGCAGCCTCCTGGAGGGGACAAAGAGTTTGGGTTGGCTCCTTGAGGGCTCGTGGTGGAGCTGAGGGAGGTGCCTGTTCTTCTGTGTGGGGTGTTTTTTTCCTCATTTTTGGGAAAGGGGAGATGCTGCTTTCCCACAGCGTGGGGCCATTCGCTTGTGAAACGCTCAGGAGGAGATTTGGGGTCTTCAGGCAGTGCTGAGCAGGGGGATTAGAGCCAGAGGGAGTTATTTCCTCCAGGCAGGACTGGGAGACTTGAGCCTTCTTCAGAAAAAAGAAGAGCTCTGTGGCTTGTGTGGTGCTTGGGGGCCATAACCTCTGCTGTCACCTGGGTCCCCTGTCCCAGCCACAGTGCTTTGCACTTCTCTAAACACTTTTTTTAGCACCAAAGAGCTTTTGCTGTGCTGACTGGGTGAGGGATTATCTTGGCTTTGTCCAAGCTGGGGCCAGCTACAAGTTCCTGGGCTGGCAGCACGGGCTCTGCTGTGAATTTAGCTCAGCCTCAGGGTAGTTCTTCGTGGCACTATCAAACCATGGGGGCTGCTGACGTGGTTTTGGTCCCTGGGGGGTCTGCCTGGAGTGGCAGAACGTTTCCAAGCTGCTGCTTTGATTCCTTCTCCATTTATTAATCATTATCACAAGGTTTGGACTCAATCAAATAGCAGTGGCTGAGTGGTTTTGTGCAGTTCTGAAACCAGGGGAGGATAAAACAGAAAGGGGAACTTCATAAAGATGTAAAAAAAGACTAGAGAGCTGTTGTGGCTTTGGGTGAAAACGTCCAGAACTGTCCAAAGTTTCACTAATGATTCCACAGCCCCACTTCAACTTTCTCCTCTTCACAGAGCTCTTTGAGCTCCTGGTTTCTCAAGGGGCAACGGGCAGCAACTGGAACCCAGGAGGTGCCACCTGAGCAGGAGGAGAAACTTCTTGGGTGGGAGGGTGCAGAGCCTGGAGCAGCTGCCCAGAGAGGCTGTGGAGTCTCCTGCTCTGGAGAGATCCCAAACCCTCCTGGCTGTGACCCTGGGCACCCTGCTGGGGGGGAGCTGCTGGAGCAGGGGAGGGTTGGGGGAGATGATCCCCAGAGCTCCCTCCCAACCCCACCACACTGGGGTTGTTCTGGAGTGGATGAATTTGGGAGAACCTCAGTGTGTGTTCAGCCACCCGGGGGGGCCTGAGGGAGGCCGGGGAGGAGCTGGGGATGGTGCTGTGGCAGGAGGGGAGGTGGAGCTGCTTTGCCTCCCAGCTTTCTAGTCAGCTCTACCTCTGGAGCTCAGGTCCCAGTGCAGAGGGGCTGTTGTCAGTGTCCTGTTCCCCCCCTGGCTTCTCTTCCAGGACCCCCAGGGCCGCCACGTGAAGACCTACGAGGTGTCCCTGCGTGAGAAGGAGTTCAACAAAGGCCCTTGGAAACAGGAGAACGTGGAGGCCGAAGCCTCCATGGTCATTGCAGGTTGGTCCTTCTTTGTGAAAGCTTTTTCCCCCTCTGGTTTCTACCCCCCCGAGGCTGAATCTTTGCTCCACAGGTTCTCTAACAGGACATTTCTCCCCTGCCCAGTGCCGGAGCCTTTCGGAGGCGCCATCATCATCGGGCAGGAATCCATCACCTACCACAATGGTGACAAATACCTCGCCATAGCTCCACCTATCATCAAGGTGAGGGGCTCCTGGGGAGCTAGGAACACGTCCTGTGCAATTCCACCTTTCCCAGGCCTCTCTGGGAGGGCTGGGAGGGTGTTGGGCTTCTCAGAGGTAGGATTTTGAACTGCTGTCGACTCCAGGGCCGCTTACACACAGAGGTTTGGGGAGTGTGGGTGTTTTGCATGATGCCTGGTTTGTGTTTCATAGAATCACTGATTGGTTTGGGTGGGAAAAGATCTTTAGAAGTCATCTGGTCCAGCCCCTCTGCAGGGAGCAGGGACATCTGAAGCTAGAGCAGGGTGCTCAGAGCCCTCAACCTCCCCTGGGATGGTGCCAGGTTCTGGGTGACCTGGGCCAGGCTCTCACCCCCCTCAGCATCCAACATTTCTTCCTTCTCTCTAGTCTCAATCTCCCTCTTTCAGTTTCAAACCATCCCCCCTTGTCCTGTGGCCACATTCCCTGCTAACAGGACTGTCCCCAGCTCTTTTTTCCAGGCTCCCTTTAAGTCCTGGAAGGCCCCAATAAGATATTTTTGGGGACTGAGGGACATATGTGACCCTTGTACTGGTGCTTACACTGCAGAGCGTGGCTCTGCTCTCTCTGGAGGGCTCAGAAGTGGGGCAGGAAAGCTGAAATCTTCTTTGAGCCCCAGAGAGAGGGATTAATTTGGAGGTAGTGCGTGGTTTGGGCAAGGATCCAGGCCAGAGCCTGGTTTCATTTCAGGCAACAAAAGATCTGAACGAGCCCCTTGGAGGCTCCAGTCAGTGTTTAGAGGGGGGAAAAAAGACTTGCAGAGTTTGTGACAGAGGTTGAGCTCGTGGGTTTTGTCAGAGGAACAACCCAATTCACACGTTTCAGTAGGGCAGGAGGTACAAATGGTGCTGAGAGGTGGCTGGAGATGAGCTCAAAAGATCTTTTAAGCTGGAAATAATGACAGGCTAGGAAAGAGCTCTAAGTCTTAGCTAAAGAAACACAGATCCTGTTGTCTGCAGGCTCTCAGGCCACTGCTGGAGCACTGCTGGGCCGTGCTGTGCTCTGCTGATGTACAGACTGGGGCCTTGATCTGTGGGCAGAGCACAGGCTCTGCTCTGCTCAAGGCCAGTGCCACGTTTGCATCCCCAAATGAGCTGCAAAATCAAGATTTTTGAGGCAAATGTGTTGATGGGAGACCTGGCAGCATCCACCCTCCCCAGAGCAGAATGTCTGGGTGTGGAGACACAGTGGGCCTGGAGCTCTGCAGGTCCCCAGGGGCATCCATGGAAGGCCCAGCATTGGGAAAACAGGATTTTTGATGGTATCTCTCCTGGGCTGTGAAGAAATTAGAGAGGTGTCAAGTTTAAATACCCTTTTGAGCACAGATTTTGGTTGTGATGGGGGTTATTGAAGGGCAAATCCAGCCCTTCCTGCAGGAGGAGTGCCCTGGTCTGGACTCTGCTGTGGTGGACAGAGCAAGTGGTTGTTTTCTTCTGGGCTCCCCAGTTCCAGAGAGACCAGGAGCTACTGGGGAGAGTCCAGAGGAGGCTGTGGAGCCGCTGCGGGGCTGGAGCATCTCTGTGCCAGGCCAGGCTGAGAGCCCTGGGGCTGTGCAGCTGGAGAAGAGAAGCCTCAGAGGGGATCTGAGCAGTGCTGAGCAAGAGCTAAAGGGCCCCCGGGGGGCAAGAGGCTGGGGCCAGACTCTGCTCAGTGGTGCCCAGCCACAGGCCAAGGGGCAACGGGCACCAACTGGAACCCAGGAGGTGCCACCTGAGCAGGAGGAGAAACTTCTTGGGTGGGAGGGTGCAGAGCCTGGAGCAGCTGCCCAGAGAGGCTGTGGAGTCTCCTGCTCTGGAGAGATCCCAAACCCTCCTGGCTGTGACCCTGGGGGAGCTGCTGGAGCAGGGGGTTGGGGGAGATGATCCCCAGAGCTCCCTCCCAACCCCACCAGGCTGGGGGTGTGTGTACAGAGGTTGTCCTTGCTAGGAGCTTGTTTGGGGCCATTCCAATGGGTTCCTGGACAGTTTCTCCCCTCCCCTGCCTGCAGCAAAGCACAATCGTGTGCCACAACCGGGTGGATCCCAACGGGTCCCGTTACCTGCTGGGGGACATGGAGGGAAGGCTCTTCATGCTGCTCCTGGAGAAGGAGGAACAGATGGATGGCACTGTCACCTTGAAGGACCTGAGGGTGGAGCTGCTGGGGGAGGTAGGACCTGGCCACATCACCTCCACTTCCCAATTTTTTTTCCCTGGGAGAAGTTTGGGAGTTGTAAAGGGATTAAATTCCCCTCCCGTGCTCAGGGTCTTCCTGCTGGGCTGCAGCTTGGGTGTGATGCTTGTGTGGAGGGGGTGACAAGGTCCTTTTCATGCTCTTGGTGGCTCATCTGCATCCTCTCCATCCCCAGACATCCATTGCAGAGTGCTTGACCTACCTGGACAATGGAGTTGTGTTTGTGGGCTCTCGACTTGGGGATTCCCAGCTCGTCAAGGTAGGTGGCTGCTGGCTCCTGGCTGAGTTCTCTGTTCAGACAGGTTTTAGGACATATTTCTTTCCCATCACAGCCTGAAGAGATGGGTGTGGATAAGTTTTTGCCTCTCTAGTCCACCCTACACCCTTTCTGCTTGCTTGGCTTTGCTTGTGGAGAAGCAGTAACTGTGTTGATTCACAGCTCAACGTGGACAGCAACGAGCAGGGCTCCTATGTGGTGGCTATGGAGACCTTCACCAACCTGGGGCCCATTGTGGACATGTGTGTGGTGGACCTGGAAAGACAAGGCCAAGGACAGGTTGGTTCTGCTTTGATTTGCTCAGTGTTGGGGCTGCTGAGCAGCAATCTCCACAGCTCTTGACAGGAGCCTGGAGCCAGGTGGGGATTGGGCTCTTCTCCCAAGGAACAAGGGACAGGAGAAGAGAGAATGACTTCAAGTCACCCCAGGGGAGGTTGAGGTTGGCCCTGAGGAACCATTTCTTGCCCTGGAGGGTTGCCCAGGGCTGTGCCAGGCTGCCCAGGGCAGTGGTGGAGTCCCCACCCCTGGAGGGGTTTCCAAGCCGTGGAGATGTGGGGTGAGGGACACGGGGCAGTGGGGACCTGGCAGGGCTGGGGTTGCACTCCATGACCTCAAAGTTCTCTTCCAACCAGAATAATTCTTTGATTCTATGTGTGGGTGTCCACAGAAGGAAAAGACCACAAACCTTTTAGTGGAGAAACTCAAAGTCTTCTCCAGGTGCAGGTATTGAGGTCTTGCACTGAAGAATACTATGAGTGGGGAGGCCAAATTTTGGACACCTTGCTCATGATTAAGGGGTTGCAATGGGGAAGGATCAGCTGCCAAAAAACTTCCCCTGAGAATCAAAGATGGGCACCCTGGAGAACTTCCCCTGACCCCATCCCTACCAGGAGGAGCAGGGAAGCTTCTCAGCAGTGGTTGGTAAAGTTCCTCTGCTTTTCTTTCAGCTGGTCACCTGCTCAGGTGCCTTCAAAGAGGGTTCCCTACGGATCATCAGGAATGGAATTGGGATCCACGAGCACGCCAGCATCGACCTGCCAGGGATTAAAGGTGTGGAGGCAGCTCAGGGCTGCCAGACACAACCCCCAGCTTGAGTGGGCCCACTGGGGACACGCCGTGTGCGTGGGCTGAGGTTGGGGTGTGGGGCTGGGACTTTCCACCCACCTGCTGTTGGAATCCTGGGGGCAGTTTGGGGCCACTCACTGACAGCAGGACCTTGAGGGGCTGGAGCGTGGGCAGAGAAGGGCAACGGAGCTGCTGGGGAAGGGTCTAGAGCCCACGTGTGGGGAGGAGCAGCTGAGGGAGCTGGGGGTGCTGAGCCTGGAGCAAAGGAGGCTCAGGGGAGACCTTCTGGCTCTGCACAGCTCCTGACAGGAGCCTGGAGGGAGGGAAAAGTGCCTCAAGTCTCCCCAGGGGAGGGTGGGGTTGTCCCTGAGGGACAATTTCTTGCCCTGGAGGGTTGCCCAGGGCTGTGCCAGGCTGCCCAGGGCAGTGGTGGAGTCCCCACCCCTGGAGGGGTTCCCAAGCTGTGGAGATGTGGGGTGAGGGACACGGGGCAGTGGGCACCTGGCAGGGCTGGGGGGATGATTGGACTCAATCTCTTCCAACCAAACTGATCCCATGAGAGCAGGATGCTTTATCCCAAGGTGTCACAGCCACCTTGCCCTCTGCCACCCTGCCCCAACCAGGGCAATCCCATGGCTCTGTGAACCACTCTGAGCAGATTTGGCCTCTCATTGTTGCAGGCTTGTGGCCCTTGAGGTCGGACTCTCATCGGGAAACAGACAACATGTTGGTGCTGTCCTTTGTTGGCCAGACCAGGTATGGTGGGGTTGATGCTGAGCCAGGCTCTGGACCACACTTTGGAGCATTACAGAACAGGAATTGCCTTTCCTGGCCAGGGTTCTCATGTTAAATGGAGAGGAAGTGGAAGAGACAGAGCTCACGGGCTTCGTGGATGATCAGCAGACTTTCTTCTGTGGCAACGTGGCACATCAGCAGCTGATCCAGGTAATGCCAACGTAGGGGAGTGCAGATACCCCTCTGGGGGTGACCCTCCAGCCCCTGGTGGTCGTGGGGTTCACCTAGATCTGTGCTGCCAACGGGGGGGGGAGCAGCCTTTGCAGGATTTGCTGATGTCAGGAGGGGAGGTGTCCTTCCAGCTCTGAGCAGGGCTCTCCTCTCTGCTCAGATCACCTCAGCTTCTGTGAGACTGGTCAGTCAGGAGCCCAAAGCCTTGGTGAGCGAGTGGAAAGAGCCCAATGGCAAGAACATCAGCGTGGCTTCCTGCAACAGCAACCAGATCGTGGTGGCCGTGGGACGAGCCCTCTACTACCTGGAGATCCGACCCCAGGAGCTCAGGCAGATCAGGTGAGTCTCACCCCGCCCCCCGAGGCCTTTCAATCTTTGCTGTCCCATCTTTGGGTTCCAGAAGGACACCTCTCTGTGCTTCCTGCTTCCAGCTGTACAGAAATGGAGCACGAGGTGGCCTGCTTGGACATCACCCCCCTGGGGGACACCAGCGGCATGTCCCCGCTCTGCGCCATCGGGCTCTGGACGGACATCTCCGCCCGCATCCTCAAGCTGCCCTCCTTTGAGCTGCTCCACAAGGAGATGCTGGGAGGAGGTGGGGCCCTGCTGGGTGGGGGAAGCTGTCCCTAGGACTGGCCAAAGAGGCTGGGTGGCACTCACAGCTCTTCTCCTGCCCCCTGCAGAAATTATCCCTCGTTCCATCCTGATGACCACCTTCGAGAGCAGCCATTACCTGCTGTGTGCCCTAGGGGATGGAGCTCTCTTCTACTTTGGGCTCAGCCTGGAGACAGGTGACTGCAGGGGCTGCTGGGGAGGGTGGCTGGACTCCTGTCCTCCTGCTTGGTTGATGTGCTTTCTGCTATCCCTCTGGAGAGATCTCTTTTCATCTTGCTCTCTCGCTGTGAGGAGTTCGTGCTCTGGTGGAACTGGCTCTGGGCTCACAGGGAGCTGGTGGATTTCTCCAGCAGACTCTGGGGAAAGGAGATTGGTGTTTACATCTCTGCCTCTGCTGACTGGTGGTGACAGGTTGGCAGCTGGCTGAATATGAGCCACCATGGGCAAGAAGGCCACCAGCATCCTGGCTTGGGTCAGCACTGGTGTGGCCAGCAGGAGCAGGGCAGGATTGTCCCCCTGGGCTGGGCACTGGGGAGGCTGAACCTCCAATCCTGGGGGCAGTTTTGGGCATCACAGGATAAGAAAGACCCTGAGGGGCTGGAGCGTGGGCAGCGAAGGGCAACGGAGC